ATTCTCCGAATGCCTTATGTTACCAACTCTGACTAATATATATGCCAAATAAACGGGAGAGAGCCGGAGTCTCGGTACAAGATAAATAGAGAGGCGATAGCCTCGGGTAAAGGGGACTAACACGATATAAAGGACCCCCTTATGTCGTGCGAAGGACTACCGGTAACTAGATTATTCTGTGCGATATTCGACGACCAGAAAACTTGAGGGATCGGACTTGTGATAGAGTTTTTGTTGAAAATTTGCTGTTTAATGAGACAGTTTTATATTTTAGATGAGCTACAATCTGGTATAGAATTAAGAGATTTATTATTTTGTTACAGACATTAGTTTTAAAGGACATTTTAAAAAGTTGAACAAGTCTTGAGTGCACGGGACGGTAATAGTACATAATAGCTCAAAAATATAGGTCTACCGGAAAATCATGTCTGTTTCTATGACAAGTTTCGACACGTAAGCACATATCGTCGGCTTACTACCAAAACAAGATAAGTACATTTTTACAATTAAGTGCATAATACTGCATCATGATACTTTGGAAAATGGATATGAAAACTCATAAGAAAATGAATGGAATGGATAAGAAGATGGGTGAAATTAAAAAGACATACAAGCACTAAAAAACACGTTAAATAATTGCACATCTAATGACAAAATGATTGATTATTAGGCCACTGTAGTTGTCCATGTACTTCCCTGAAAGAACAATATTCTCAGGACAATACCTATGGGATAAACAATATTATCGGAGATGGAATGAAGTTCTTCTGGACGAAATGAAATTTTCCGTCATAGAATGGAGCCACTATACTGATAATTATGGCACAAGTACACGATATATGTAAAGATATATAATTTATATATGAACTATTCGATGATAGTTGGTAAAGTGCTCCTCATCTGTTAGTTAAATAGCACCACCAGTTATCTGTAACTCGTCCCGGAGTGTCACCAATGGAAATACCTCTAAAATTCAACCTCAAACCATAGGTCTTCGCGTAATAGTTGTCATAAAATATAGAATAATCAACTGTTTATATTGTTTTAATGTTTTATGAATTGTGTTAGTTGGTAGTAATGACATGTCAATAATGTCAAAATTAGTCTTAGCTTCTTTAGTCTTAGTTGTATTATATTGCTCTCATTGGTGTGAAGCGTTTTACTGTGTAAGTAGCCATTTTGTTATATTTAACGGTCTACTATATTTTAATAAAGATGAAAAAACAGCTTCAGAATATTTAAGCGGTAGAAGAACAATGGACATCAGAAATGGAATACAGAGAAATACTTTGTAGAAAGTAAAAAAAAAATAATTAAAACTTTTAAAATTAATTTCATGTAACAAGTTTACAAATAAGAAAAAGAAAACTCCATTGTATCTCACAGTTTGGAAATTTTTGTTCAAGCACATTATAATTTCTCCAATATGGCATCTACCACAATACAATAACTAAATTCTTGCATTTAATTTTCATTCGCAAATAAAACATAAATCATATTTCAAAAGTCACATGTCATCAGTTATTCATCGAGCCATTCCCCGCGGTCTACTTGGCCCTCTCCGCAGAACTACCTACGTGCGGATCCTTGCGGTGCACATGTATTATGTAAATCTGCTTTTCCTTGGCTGTCATCAATTAATAAACCCCATATCAAGACGTTTTCATAATTAATGGCGTTTCCATTCCATCATAGGCAGCTCGTAACGGACCCGGAAGTCTTACCTTCGTCTTACGTTTACGTCTTACGGCTCCGGTCTAAAGCTAAAGGATACGGCTGGTAATCTAGGCCGAGGAGGATTATTTTGAAAATTTGATTGTGGATGCTGTTTATGTATTTTGAGAGTCTTATTACAGTCAATTATTAATCGCGTGAGATTTTATTAATATACGAGGACTATTCTCTTTCCGCTGAGTCTGTCTAATCGGTGATATAAAGGCATTGTCTGTGGAAAAGAATACGTGGAAAACTTATAAATAAATGTTTTTTTTGTAGTAGTAGTAGTAGTGGGATCGAAAAGCAGTGTGGTGTAAAACTAGCGATTAAAAGTTCCCGTGCCAATACAATTAAAATTTAATCAATTTTTTCATATAAAACGTGTTTTATAAGAAATAACAACTGATTCTCGATATTTTAACAAAGTCAAAATCCAAATAGAGTCGACAACGAACCAGTACACAGTACATCAATGCCGTTTTTATCTAAACTCATCTCCTTAGTAAGAAAACGGTGTAAACAAGAAGAAAACCGCAGCTGAACGTCTCGCAGGGGCTGTTTCCAGTTAAGTTAGTTACGCAAGAACTTCTCCTTTTCGCTCTTTCTGTTCTTTCTCTCTTCAGAAACATAATTTATAAGCGATTCATAATGCGGGAGAGTGTCGACAAGAAATTGAGTGAAAGTTTCGAGACGCGACGCGTCCGGGAAAATACGAGGCAAATTAAATTTTGCTGTGTGCAAACTTTATTATTACCATACCGTGGAAGATGCTATTAGGAGAATTGGAATTATTATTATCTACCTGTATATACCTGCGGGTTTTATTTCTAAATAAATTTTGATTAATGTATCATCCGATTATTATTTGATAATGAAATTATGGTTGGTTTGCACGGAAAAAATTTTACTAGTAAAATTTTAACACGAAATATAGTTAATATTTTGTATCAAAATATACTTGTAATGTGATACTTGTTATTTTATCTATTTTTTATAGTGTTTTAAGCTCAAATGATTTTGGGAGTGGGTCAGGTTATTAAATAACTCGTATTACCTTGAAAAAGAAGTTGGGCACCACTATATTTAAAACTTATTATACTTGACTATAGATTAGTGATAAAAATATAGAAAATCACTAACCATTAAGATATTATATTTAAACCAAGTTTTAGATAAGGCAGTAACAAATTCTAATTCACAGAGATTTACTTATTCAAATTCAGATGATTTATTTAAAAAAAATAGACTTATCTGTTATAACGGGAGGTAGTATACAAGGAGAGATTTGCATAGGCCTTCTTCAAAGGGACCTGAACGATGTTCTTCGAATAGCACCAAACTCTTAGGTATAAATCTTCATAAACTTAAATCTCCAAAAATTTCTTTAGATGTAACTCGAACTAAACCTCTTGATAGAAATCCCCATAAACAGTTTTAGATATATCTTGAATTAAACCGTCTAGATATAGCCAGATATAGCCAATAAGAATATTAAAAGACAATTCGTACATCGTATGTCCAAGATAATTTAAAATTTAAATCAACTTATTTCTTGACAGATACAAATCGAAATGAAATACCAACTTTTGACGCAAGGCATAAACGACAAATGACATTTGAGTAGAAATGTTTGTGTCAAAATAACGAAAACGGTTCCAACCGTTACATAGTTTAAAAATATTCATATTAGTCGCAATTAAATTGTCGAATAAACAAAACTATAAAAAATTTACCTTCTTCTGCCGTAGAATAATTATAAAAATATCTTACAGTAATTGTAAATGTAAACTATTCTACTCATGGTAAAATTAATAATCACGCTAAGCTATGTGTCATGTCTTATAGCTTTTAGTCCTGCAGACTGTACAGCATTTTAACAAATTTCAAATAATGTCATAGACATTTTGATCAGTTTAACAAATTTTAATTGAATAGTTTTAATTTCACTATTTAAAGATTCAACAGTGATGACAAAAAGATCATTAAGTCTGGGCAATTACTGGACACATTTCGTCGAGACGGTCCTGTCATTATTTAAAATATCCCGCCGTTGTCATTGACACTTGCCAACCAAAATTTAGACGATTAAGCACTCCACCTATGGCGTCGTGCTCAAACTTCGTCTTCGTGCGATATGGCCATCATATCCACTCTTGTTGCAGAAACTACTATTTCACTTCCAGAGTAGATTAAATAGTACCCCAAGATATTTTAGAAGATCCATTTGTTCTATATATTGAAAATGTCAATAATTTTGTCTTTATTGATACCACCGACGTATATAAGGGGGGTTTAGGGGTCCGGACCTCTCCCTCAGCCTAAGCAACAACGCCAATATTAGCTGAATACCTATCTATTAAAATGCCGCGAATCCCGTAAACGTAAACGCAAATCACAACAAGAAAAATTACTGTTTTGGGAGCTCTAAAACTGTGAATTCGAAATCAAAATTTTCAAAATTTGTAAAGGGCTGACCCCAGACAAATACGTGTCAAACCTCCCCTCAAAAAGTTATAAATACGTCCCTGATTCATACAATTAAATGTGTGTGATTAAATATTTATATTAAGAGGTTGATCTCTAATAGGTCATATACCTAGTTTTAGCAGAATCATCTGCGTAACATAGTTTTATTAATATAATTAAAAATTAAAAAAAAATACTGTTATTGACTTTAAATAACTCTAAATTACTTAAAAAAGTATCATTAGTAGAAATTTTACCAAAATACTACTTCTTCAAATTAATCTGAACATAAAATTGATACATTGAGAATTGCTTATACCATTTTAAATTTCTTATAGGCCAATATACATTTTCACAGATCTACGTTAATAAATCTTATATTTATCGAAAAATAGATGAAAAAATACTTTTTTAAATAATTTTTGTAAGGTGACCGCTTGTAACATACACTTTTGATGACCTACATTTATGAAAACTGTCACCTAAGGTCATCACCAACGAATACCCTGACTGTCAACCTGATAATCTAACAAGATATCTATTGACTAACTTATGAAAATGCTGCTACACCACTGCTCCATCTCACCACTCACATGAAGGCGAGTGACATGCGCAGCAAGGTCAAATTGTCAGAAAGTGCTCATACACGACTACTCCCACAGTTACTGAATACGGGTCCAGTAGTCTCACTCTCTGTATACAATTGTAGAAGACATTTTTTTTTTCAATTTGACTCGTGAATGACATTATTGATTCGAACAATTTGCTTTATTTTTTACACTTTTTATCAAAACTCATATATATTTTTTTTGTTTCAGATTCTTCCTTAAATTTTTTCTAAAGTGTAACCAAAATTGTCTGAAAAATGCTGGAAATCCACGAGATATGCGAAGGTTTCAGGTAAGCAATTTTTTAGTTCACAATTTATTTTTACTTGTAAAATTAGAAAAAATAATAAAAGTTTATTCTTGAATATACCATAAATTTCAGGAACATAATATGTTATTTATGGTTCTTGCACCTTAGTTTTTCATTTTCGTTTTTGATATTCTTGAGTTGTTGCTTTTCTTTCTTCAAATTAAACTACAGTTTATTTTTCATGATTTGTATAGCACCGAAAACAATTTTTTTATTGAATTTGGGTATTATTAAAAATTAAGGTAGACAAAAATCTAGCCACCATATCTCCCAAGAAGAATCAAATAGCTCTGCACCTGGTTCTGATGACATACACTACCATATAGAATCAAAATGTTTCCGGTGGCTCAAAAAGAATAAACTCTACACCTTCTTAATAAAACCTGGACCCACAGTAGATATCCAGAGAATTGGCAGGAAGCACTAATTATCCCATTACCCAAATCTAATAAAGATCTTACAGTACCTTCAACCTACCGGCGAATACCCCTTACTAGTTGCCTCAGCAACTACTTCAAAAAATAGTTAAGTACCTGATGATTTTTGGAAACAAATAATGGTTAGATTGTTAGGTGGATTTTCGACAACACATATCAACTATGGACTAAGTTTTTTATTGATGTCTTCGGCTTCGACAAGTTGGTACAGTAACCTCGTGTTCTATGTAGGTTATGAACTACTAGTAGTCTAATACTCGCTAGCGCAGGAGTTCTAGTACCTGATACTCCTGCACGTCTACATAAATGCATTGTTACTGTTTCTGAGCGCCACATTTTTTTATCTTTATCTTTATCGATTGTACGCAGGTAGGGTTAGGTTTGGCCCAGAACACTGCAGCCTCTTGGGCCTATTGTATTCCCCTGTTCCTGGGGCGTTTTTTCCGGTTCTAGGCAGAAAAGGATGAAACGTCGCTTAGTAAGAGCTTTGCATTCCAAGATCACATGGTATAAGGTTTCTTCCTCTTCCATGCAAAGTCTACACGTAGTGGGATCATTGTATAATCCCATTACATGAAGGTGTTTCAGCAAGCAGTGCTCGGTTAGCAATTCCAAAATGGTGGATATCTGAGGCCTTGCGCTTTGTAGTGCCTCACTAGCCATGCGTGGGTTTCATCCCCTTAGCATGAGCTTACTGATTCTGTACCCTCTTATCTGTTGCCAGTGAATTTGGTGTTTTGTGGTTATCCATTTGTTCACTGCCTGTCGAGCAGAAGTTTTGCTTATCCCAAATACCGGTTTGTGTCCTGTGAATGGTAGATCTGATCCCTCTTTGGCGAGTTCATCAGCCTTTTTATTTATTGGGATACCTTTAGGGCCGCCGAGAGCCAGGCCGGGCCCCAGGACAATTCTCTAGATCGGGCATCGGGCCCCGTAACAAAAAACAGCTCTTCAAACACAAACTTTTCCTCTTCTAGTTGAATTGAGTTTCTAAAAATAATCCTCAATTCTTCATCTGCTTCAATTGCGTTTTCTCAAAAAAAAAAAAAAAAAAAAACAATAACTTCCCCCTCTCGTCTTGTGTCGAATTTCTCATACAAAACAAAAAAAAATTCAGTTGTCGGCCCTTTATACCGCTGTCAGGCCCCCATTTGAGTCCGGGCCCCGGGAATTTGTCCTGGCTACCCCTCTCCCCCCTCTAGTCGGCCCTGGATACCTTTGTGCCCTGGTACCCACGTTAGTTTTACCTTGTTGTGGGTTACCAGATCATTTAGTATTCCAAGGCAGTTCCAGACAAGCTTTGACTTGATTCTTGAATCAAGAGCCTTTAAGGCTGCTTGGCTATCTGAGAGAATTAGGATGGTTTGTTTTTTGTACTTTCTTAAATTCTCTCATACATACAATTCGATTGCATTTATTTCAGCCTGAAATACAGTGTTATGTTTTCATAGTGAGACGATGATGTCACATTTGGGTTTAACTCCATGTACGCCAGAGTCTGTTCCCTTGTTAGTTTTAGATCCATTCGTATACCATACGAGACCGCTATGCAAGTATTTATCTATCTCCTTATTTACCTCGTTCCATATATATTTGACCTGGAAGAGTCTGTTAACGGATAGGAGGGGTGTCATGTGATCTGATCCCATATGAGCGCCACTTTAGGATCAACACTCCTTATTAGAACTTAACAGTGAATGGTCAGAGTGGAGGATTCTATAAATGCATCAGAATATGGACTAAATTGTGTTACTAGGCAGTAAAATTATAGAAACTCATTTAGTTATTAATCATCTCTTTTGACAATGACAAAGCGTATGATCTAACATGACGTTATGGATTACTTAAGAGCCTACATATACCAATAGGAATTTAAATTTAATATAAAAATTTTTAGAGTAGAGAACTGACATATAAATATCTAACAGAAGAGATATGTAATAAAATATTTATATTACATTGAAATAAAAAGATTCTATTTTTGAAAACAAAATTATTAAAATTAGTAATGATTTATAAAAAGTAAAATTACACAACTTAAATAATACAAACAGTATGTTTTTTCTTTAATGATCTTTTTTCTGAATTGAAGACGGGTATTCGTTTAGTTTGGAATTAATCCTTTTTTTCCTTGACATGCAATTTTGATGGATTTTGCAGATGTTTATAAAAAATATGTACGTTTTTGGTCTACAAAAACTAAAAAGAGGAACAAACCAAAAATGTTCGATGGCCGTCGTCGTAACGCACGGCTAGAAGTATAATCGTAGCAGTAGCGGCGGCGGACAGCAAGACTGCCGCCTACCGGGCAATACCGCCGCCGTGCCGTCTCTGCCTCAGCGCCGTCCCCATGGGAACGCGTGTGTTCGCCCGCCGCTAGGGGAGAAGACTCCCTTGGGAGCGCGTACGTCCCTAGGGAGGAGTCTGTCTTGCGATGCACTTCCGCAGTTTACCTTGGCCGCAAAATGGCTGCTTTCCTTGCTCTGACTGCATGTCCGCTCCGGCGGCTTCTTGAAGAAATACGAGGCGAGGTCCAAGATTTCTCAAGACTTAAATCTTTGATATCTAACTCATTTATTTCTATTTGAAATTATGAAATGAAACATTTTCCTTGTTCCGGTAAAAGAAATATCAAATATACGATTCAATTAGGGTAAGTTCAGGATAGATGCCGCATATTTTCTAATTACCAAATTTTTCAAAAAAAAAAAAATTATATAAAAAAAAAAATTATATAAAAAAAAAAATTATATAAAAAAAAAAAAATTAGTCATAATATGATAATTTACTGTATGAGTTCCTTTAAGAAGAACATAAAAGTAGCATTGGCCCTCTTGTCCGAAGTGTCAGTTCCAACATCAATAATTTACCAAGTCTTTGGTTTATATTAAAAATTCTGCTGTCAAAAATACTTACATTTTAGGTGATTTTATATTTATGAATAATTTGATAATTTGAAAACAAATTTCAAAAATCCCCCTATGAATTATTTTAAGACCATCCCAGAACCTTAAAGTTGGAGATTTGAAAACAAGGCTGTCGCAGCTAGGAATCTTTATATGCTAGACAAGCGCGCTTCCTTCTAGATCATCATGACATTCACTGTCGAGATTCCTAGATAGAAATTTGATGTGCTAGTTCGGAACAGACGGCGGTCAAGCTCGTTCTCAAATATTCAAATACCTCTATACAGCATCGGTATATATGAGAAATGCATTTATGCTTACTAAACATGAGTGTGAAAATTGTGAATGTATGCAAATTGTAAATCGCAAATCGAAATCTGAAAAATCAGAGGTTTATCTGAAATAAGTGGCTGAATAATTTGAAAATTCGGAAACAAATCTCAAAAATTCCCCTACGAAAACAAATAATTATAGATTTAAAAAAAAAATCGAACTACCTTGTATGCTAGACAAGAAGTGCCCCATTGGAGTAAAATAAATATTTTTAGAAAATTACTATATAAATCAAATTTTAATAAAGTCACTTCAAAATCGAAGAAATGTCAAATTTTTCAAAGTAGGTAGTGACGTAGATTAAATATTACTTTTCATGGGATTTTTTTCACAGAAAGATTGTTAAAAATCAAGATGATTTTTATTCTAGAAAAAAAATTAAATTTATTAAGAAATTACAATTGTAATTTTACAAAAAAGATGTAATATATCCAACACATGACATTCCTGTTTATTTATTACAGGCGTGTTCCGGTTATTTTGTACAATCTATTGTATCACCCCTGTAAATATTTAGAGGATTTACTAAATACATACATTTTCCACATACGTCTTACTACAACGAAAATAGTGAAAAAAATTCCATTACGGTCCATTTTAGAGAAATCCTGAATAAAACAAAAATTATAGAAAATTATATCATAAATAACTTTTATTTGAAGAAATTTTTGTTCCAATTGTAAACAACAGATGTTCCTTAAAGTAAACAAACGACTCCCTTTAAAGTAGCCCCCAAGATGCTTCGACTATGCTCAAAATTTCATCAACTCACCGCAGGATGTATTAAAAGCTTAAGATTAATATTTGGTGGTTTAGTCTTTATCCGTTTTTGAGTTCTCTTTAAAATTTGCAGATATCTTGAATACGGTCCATTTTAGGGAAATCATGTGTGGAGTTAAAATTATAGAGAATGACATCGCAGGCAATTTTTTATACACAAATGTTTTCTTCCAAGTGTAAATGACAGATATATAAAAAAGGAGCCTCTAGAAAGTAACGTCATTCTAACACACATAAACACACAAACACACATACACGCGCGTGCCCACACAAACACATACAAACACACACACACACACAAACACACACATACACACACAAACACACACAAACGCACACAAACACACACAAACGCACACAAACACACACAAACACATTCAAATTAAAATAATAATTAATTTACAGGAAATATAAGATAAATTTTATCTTGAGTTTTTTTTAATATAAACATTCTGAGTATAACTAAATAAGTTAGGTTAGGTTTTGTGTGAAAAGAAAACACAATATTCGACACATTATTAGTACT